TGCCCGGGCGGGTCTCGAACCTGCAGGTTCAGGCAATCCACTCACCTCAGCCTCCCAAGGCATGGGATTACAGGCTGAGCCACCGAGCCCGGCTTCACCCTTACTCTTAGTAACAGTGTAGCCACAAAGCAACTTATCCTCTCTGAAGCTCACCTTGAGAGAAAATTCATACCTTAATAGATAGTTTTGAGATTTAAATGAGATAACCAATTCTAAATTGTTCAACAGAATGCCGAGTACTTGGATGGGCATGGTAACAGCTTCCCCTTAGTTTTATAGGACATTTTGGGTAAATTATGTAAATCTCAGCCCCTGTAAAGCCTCCAATTCCTCAACTCTAAGATGAGGATGCCAATGTGACAATTAATTAGTTATTGTTATTATTTGGTGACCAAAAAAAAGAAAGAAAAAACTGACCTTGCAGAGGATTTGCAAATCCTATAGCAAGAGGCATTTCTGTAAAACTTTTGTCTGGGGCTTGAACTTAACCAATTAATTAACATTAAATATGCTTGTAAATTTTTAATACAAATTCAAGGATTTATTATTTTGAAGAGAGTGTCTCCATGAACTTTTCTCTCTTACCCTGGCAAGAGTCTGGGTCAGAAACTGTTGTACAGTCTCCTGGGCGAAGGGATGGCATAGCACATGCCTCATATAGAATGGGCTTTAGACTCACCAGATGTTCAGGACTGATTCCAGGTACTTGGCAAGGAGACCAGTGCTGCTACAGACCTTATCTCGGGCCTTCTTCATTACGCAGGGTGGGAGATGGGTTGGCAGCTCTCTGTGGATTGGGTGGCCTTGTGGATGCTCAGAGCAGGATTGATATTCATAACTGACATTCTTTCCTTTTTTGAGTTGGAGTCTCACTCTGCTGCCCAGACTGGAGTGCCGTGGCCGCTCCCAACCACTGCAGCCTCGACCTGCCAGGCTCTGGCGATCCTTCCGCCTCAGCCTTCCGAGTAGCCGGAACTACAGGCGTGCGCTACCACGCCCCACTAATTTTTTTTTTTTTAATTATAGAGATGAGGTCTCACCAAGTTGCCCAGGTGGGTCTCGAACCTGCGGGCTCAGGCAGTCCACTCACCTCAGCCTCCCAAAGGGGCGGGATTACAGTTTGAGCCACCGAGCCCGGCTTATAACTGACATTCTTATCAGATCTGTGTCCAGCCTGTGCACACTAGTTAAGACCCAATAGCCTGGGTTTGAATCCTGGCACCAACTCTTGCCCGGTGTCATTTGGGCATGTTAATGAACCTCTTGTTCTCCAGTTTCATCTGAAAATAGAGATTAAAGCACTAACTTTTTCACAGGATTGTTGGAGGAATTGAATGAATGAATCCACATAATGTGTTTAAAATGATACTGGACACATAGAAAGGACTCTGTTAAGATAATTATTATGGTCACTATTTTCTTGTAATGAGAAAGCTGGCTTCCAAAATGAACATATATACCCATCTCATCAGGTGGCAAGAAAAACACCAACCTTGCAGAGGACTTGCAAGTCCCATAGCAAGAGGTATTCTCGTAAAACCTTTGTCTGGGTCTTGAACTCCACCGAGTTTCCCACTGAATGTTAAATATTGGTGTTTGTGGCCACAGGCCAAACTCCTCATCTAGCAACTGATTGGAGCATAGACTAATGGAAATGGGGCAAAGTGGGGCTGTTATTATGGGCCGTGTTCCAAGCAAATGCACTAGGGATGCTAAGTGTAAGACTCAAGACTGTGTTGGAACCCTGTTCTCTGCAGCAATAGAGAACTCTAGTTCAATAAATTTAAATAGAGCTCCCTGGAGGACTAGAATAGTTTTGTTTGTTTGTTTGTTTGTTTGTTTGTTTGTTTGTTTTGAGTTGGTCGCCCAGGCTGGAGTGCAGTGGCACGCTCACAGCCACTGCAGCCTCGACCTGCTGGGCTCAGACGATCCTCCCCCCTCAGCCTTCCAAGTAGCCAGAACTACAGGTGCGCACAACCATGCCAGCTAATTTTTTGATTTATTGTAGAGATGAGGTCTCGCCAAATTGCCCAGGCTGTTCTCGAACCTGTAGGTTCAGGTAATCCCCTCACCTCGGCCTCCCAAAGTGCTACGATTACAGGCTTGTGCCCAGCCTAAAATCATTTTTAAATGCCCATCTTTCAAATCTAAATTCTCACAGTGGTCCGGTGGTTTAAATGAGAGCTTGTGGATGCATATGCTGTGAAAACAGGTGGTCCCCATGTTGGAACTGGCTTAAGATATCATGGCCCTGATTTTCTCTCAGAGATGGGGTTAGATGAAGTTCTCGTCTCTCCCTAGCTACGGCTTTTGTGTTCCTTGTTATTAGTGTAAAGCCAGGCTTTGCTCTGTTGCCCTCTTTTCCCATAAATATAGAGTGCCTGCAATATACAAGACACAGCGCTAGGTACAGAGAGATGCAGTGGTGACTCCAGGCAGAGGGAGCAGCAGGTGCAAAAGCCCTGGCATGGGAATGACCAGGGCATTCAGGAAACAGCAGGCCGGGCCCTGTGGCTCATGCCTATAATCCCAGCATTGTAGGAGACAGAGGCAGGAGTATCACTTAAGTCTAGGAGTTTGAGGCTGCAGTGAGCTGTGATCATGCTACTGTACCAACCTGGGCAACAGCATGAGACTCTGACTTAAAAATAAAAAATAAATAAAGGAAAGAGCAGAAGTCCCTGAGGAGGTGCTCTGGCTGGCAAGGTAGGGAGAAGCTAGGTGGTACCAGGATCATCTAGGGTAGATTAACCCAGTGAATAAAGGCTCTTAGGCAGGAGATTCATTAACATGATTAGATTGATGTAGAATGCTCTGTATATGTTCCCTGGACAACATCAACCTCATTCATAGCTTTGGGGCCCTTGTATACTGATGACTCCCAAATTTATACCTCCATGCCAGTTTCCTGTGTTCCATGACCAGACAGTAAGTTAACAGAACCACTTTTTTCTTCTAGTGGAATAGAATAAAAGTCACTCCAGTAGAGTAGAAGAGAAGATAGTATCAGAGTGTATCCCATCCGTAAGTGTAAAGTATTATTTTGTGAAACTTTGTTTCAACCATGTGAATATTCATGACAAGGCATGATGTCAAAATGTTTTCCTTATTGTAGAATGTGATCTTTTTAAATTTGAAAAGCACTGTCTTACAGTATGTCCAGGAATACAGAAGTATTTGAGAGATCACATGACGAGAAGGGGGAATGGTGCGGGAGAGATGCGTGAGCCTGTAATGAGGATATACACAAGGAGACGATAGTGATCTCTAGGACAGAGACTCAGTGCAGAGACTGGTGATGAGGAGAGGAAGGATTTGTGAGGAAAGAGACAGCGCAGCTGAGCTCAAGGAAATTGAGAAACTACGATTGGGTGAGGCAAGAGTGAGGGAGAGCATGTTGTGTCTTGGCATATGCTGTGGCCAGAACTACAGTCGTGAGTTCTGCATCTGTGGAGTCAACCAACAGCAGATGGAAAACATTCTAAAATAATAATGATACAACAATTAAAATATTACAAATTTTAAAAGTACGGCATAGCCACAATTTACATAGCATCTATATTGCATGGGGCATTATAAGTAGTCGAAAGATGATTTAAAGTATGCAGAGGATATAGGTAGGTCATATACGAACACAACACCAGTTTATGTAAGAGACTTGAGCGTCCAAGGATTCTGATATCCACAGGAGGTCCTGGAAACCAATCTCCACAGATACTAAGAGATAACTGTGCTCTCATTCTTCTTGAATTGTAGTTCTGCTATGAGAATGAGATCATCTTGAGACCTTCCAGTTTTGTGAGATTGTTGTTGTTAGCATATTTATTTTCTCTTTTTTAAAAAATGTTTTTCTCTTCTCTTTTTTTTTTCTAATTATTTTACTTGACTTTCTGGAAGATTTCCTTGAACTTTATCTTCAAACCATTTTACTGAATTTTTCATTTCTATTATCAGATTTTTAATTTCCACAAGTGCTTTTGGTGTCTGAACATTTCATTTTTCTAGCATTTTGGTATTTCAGGATGCAATATCTTCTCTTATCTCTCCAAGAATCATAATTATAAGAAGTTTTGTTGTGTTTTCTTCCTGATTCTGCTGTCTCTTCACTTACAAGAATCCCAGAATCTTTTTCTCACAGCCCTTCATACTCAGGCCTGTCTCTTCTGCCCTGACACCATATCCATTATGGAAAGTTCCTTGGCAGTCTGTGTGTACCTCTTGTAGCTGGCCTACTGCTTCTAGAGACATCACAGGCTACCACTTTGTATCTCTTAAACACTGTGTCGGTATGTGTCCTGCAGCTCTATGCACAATAGCAAAAACATGGAACCAACCATGTTGCCCATTGAAGCTGGACTGGATTAAAAAAATGTGGTACATATATACAATGGAATATTATACAGCCATAAAGGTCAAACATATGGACTTTGCAACAACTTGGATGGATTTAGAGTCGATCATACTCAGTGATCTATCACAGAAACAAAGAACTGAGTACCATATGTTCTCACTCATAAGTGGACCTTGAACAATTATAATACTATAAGAAAGCGATTGGCAGTAGTGGGAAACTGTGAGGGGGGGTGGCAGTTGAGGGAAACTGCTAGGGGAGAGAGGGGCATACCTCGTCAACAAGGGTACCTGCATAATCAACGTTTGTATACCTAACCCTGAATTGTACCCCACATCTTTATAATAATAAATACATAAGCAAACAAACACACTGTGTCTTCCCTCTTTCTCCAGGAAGACATCTCCTATGAGGAAAGGGTTTGTGAAGGAGGGAAGTTCGCCACAGTAGAAGTGACAGATAAGCCTGTGGATGAAGCTCTACGGGAAGCAATGCCCAAAGTTGTGAAATACGTGGGGGGCACCAATGACAAGGGTGAGTATAGTATCCCTGCAGGATGTGGCTCAGAGGCGAGCTTTACATGGTCTCACTTCCTCAGAAGAAAACACAAGTGAGGGGCTATCAGACACCTGTAACAACCCATTTTGGTGGCACTGAATGAACAAGGAGGTCATCACAAAAGCTCTGGGGAAACCACTCTGATGTCAGCCCATCCACCCCTCACGTTGAGGTCTCCCTGTTCAGTATCTCTGAGTTCATACTTTGCTCCCAGGTATGGCACCATGTACTCTTTTTTCGGTTTTGTTTTTGTTTTTGTTTTTATATTCTTAAGAGTTTATTTATTTTTCATAATCAATATTTTTTATTATGGTTTTGTGGGGTACAGTTAAGGGTTAGGTGTACAATTATGTTTCATTCAGGCACCCTGTTGATAAGAGGTGTTTCCCCATCCCCAGACAGATATTTGCTACTGTTAATCCCATCCCCCCCCATTTGTTTCTGTTTTAACCCTATAGTACTTATTGTATCTTTGCATTGGTTGATCAGTTAAGGTGTGCCCACAGTAAGCTGAGCCACAACACAAGGCAAGGCCAGCATCTGACTTGAGACCATCATTGCTGGGTTGGAAATCCAGAGTCAGCCCCTAGTACCCCTAAATCTGCCAGGAACTGAGGCTTAGTGAGCAATGAGGGAAGCAGGTCCCAGACTCTGTTCTGGCAAATGAAATTCTTAAGCCATCCTGCTCTTAAAGACTTGGCAGTTCATGATGGCTGCCTGCCTATTTTTAAGACAGTAAGTCTGAAGTTTCTTGAAAGGTGTGCCTGTTAGCATGTGAGCCATCTTCAAATTTGATCTTGGTTCTAGAAGCTCTTTAGTTTGACCAGCACTTTAGAATCACTGTAAAACAAAAATGGGTCAGAAAACAAGGTGGAAAAAGAGACATCGGGATTAATTTTGGGGATATTTTTCAAGATGATAACTTGGAAAGTTAAAAACTGGTATTAGTCTTAATAACATTTACTAAGGCCAGAGTAAGCAGGCTTTGGAAAATCAGTTGACCAGCAGGAGGTCAAGAAGAACTCTTTTCCTTCTTAACACTTTCATAATGTATTTTAGATTAAAATATGCATACAAATTATTAAACTCATTAAATAAAACAGGATCCCAGATCCTTCCACTCTAATACAATAATTGTTGCCTTTTGAATATATTTCTTTAGGGCTTTTAAATGTAATCTTAGTGTTCCTACAGTTGCATATCCTGCTTCTGTTACTTATTATTTTCCATTACTGCTAAATAGTCTTCTTTTTTTTTTTTCTTTTTTTTTTTGAGACAGTCTCACTCTGTCACCCAGGCTGGAGTGCAGTGGTGCAAACATAGCTCACTACAGACTCGAACTCCTGGGCATAAGCAAGTCTCCCATCTGGGCCTCCCCAATAGCAGGGACTATTGGTATGTGCCACTATGTCCAGCTAATTTGTTTATTTATTTATTTATTTGTTTGTTTTTGAGTTGGAGTCACACTCTGTCACCCAGACTGTAGTGCAGTGGCACGCTACCGGCCACCACAGCCTCAAACTGCTGGGCTCCGGCGATCCTTCCACCTCAGCCTTCCAGGTAGCTGGAATTACAGGCACGCACTACCATGCCCGGCTAATTTTTAATTTATTGTAGAGATGAGGTCTTGCCAAGTTGCCTAGGTGGATCTCGAACCCGCGGGCTCAGGCAGTCCACTCACTTCAGCCTCCCAAAGCACTAGGATTACAGGCTGAGCCACCAAGCCCGGCTTTTCCAGCTAATTTAAAAAAAAAATTTTTTTTTTTATAGAGGAGGCTCCATTATGTTGCCCAGGCTGGTCTTGAGCTCCTGGCCTCAAGTAATCCTCCCACCTTGGCCTCCCAAACTGCTAGGATTACTGGCATGAGCCACCATATCCAATGTAAATAGTTTTCTGCAGTATAATTTTTCATAGCTACATTATATTTCATCATGTGCCTATCATTTACTTAGACATAGTCCTGTTTTGAACAGAATTATAAGTTCTGCTGTATATCCTATTGCCTATAACCTTTTCCATATTTTAAATTATTTCCTTAAAATGATGTGTAGATAGGAAGTAGATACTGATAGTCTGTACTCTTGAAATATGTAATTTTTAAAAGAGTCTGACTGGGCACAGTGACTCACACCTAATTATCCCAGCACTTTGGGAGGCCAAGGTGAGAGGACTGCTTGAACCCACAGATTTGAAACCAGCCTGGCCAACTTGGCAAGACCTCATCTCTACGATAAATCACAGAAATTAGCTGGGCGTGGTGATGCAAGCCTGTATTCCAGCTACTTGGAAGGCTGAGGCGGAAGGATCATCTGAGCCCAGCAGGTTGAGGCTGCGGTGGTCGTGAGCATGGCACTGCACTCCAGCCTGGGCAACAGAGTGAGACTCTGACTCAAAAAAAAGAGTCGTGCCACTATACTCCTCCCTCCAATGTATAAAAATAAAATAAAGTGTTCATGTAAGTCTAACTCTCTCTTTCTATATATATAAACTAAAAGTATATACATACCAGGGTGCCAAAAAAAGTATACCTATTTTAAGAGATTTTATTTATGTGTTGCTTTTAGTTCGCCACAATCAGAAGTGTCTGGACACTGATGGTAACCACTTTGAGTACCTCTTGTAATTGCAGAAGTCAAACATGACTTGAATCCATCTCTTGTTATCAGTATATATTGAGTATTACAATTTTAATACAGTTTTTTCCTTTTTTTAAATGCATACACATTTTTTGGCACCCTTTATATATCTCTCTCAAGTGATACTCCTGACTCGGCCTCCCAAAGGGCTGGGATTACAGGCATGAGCTACCATGCTTGACCCTAACTATATTTTTAGCACTTGAAATGTTCATTGTTAATTTCAAGAACAAAAAACATTGCCTTGGAAGAAGAATGAGAAATCATCCTCCACAGCCCTGGGCAAGCTCTGTCTCTAATCCCCACCTCACTCTGTGCTTATTTTTTAGGAATTGGAATGGGGATGACTGTCCCTATTTCCTTTGCTGTGTTCCCCAGTGAAGATGGCTCCCTGCAGAAGAAACTAAAAGTCTGGTTCCGGATTCCAAACCAATTTCAAAGCGACCCACCAGTTCCCAGTGACGAAAGCATCAAGATCGAAGAGAGGGAAAGCATCACCGTCTATTCCACGTAAGATGATGCTTCTTGGGGTGTCCAAGGGTAGCACTGGGTTCCTATGGCTGCGCCCTGTATCATCTCCATCCTGCATTGGCGCTGAATTGTTATGCTTGCTGAATTAATTTGAATAGGAGATTCTGAATCCTGACAATTCCTCATTTTAATGTCTTCAGGCCACAGAACATGAACATTTGCATTTTCTCTGAGTAAATGTCTTGGCCAGTTAATTGGCAAATTGATGGATTCTCCCCCTCGCTTAAGCTGGAAATGAACACCTACCCTGGCCACAGAGGGGCTGAGAGACTCAACGAATATCCAAGTCAAGTCGTGGTTTGGGGTCCAGGACACATGGCAAGTGTAAAGCCCTAGGAAATACCTGACTTCTACTCCACACTCCCATTGAATGCCAGAGGGCAGGGAGCTTTTGCCAGCCCTGGGCTACCACCACCTTCTTGTTCCTGGTCTGTGGCCCTTGGAGCAGAGCACACCCATCCTATTGTCACTCTGTTCCTGTTTCCAAGACCTCTTTGGGGTCATGTTCCTTGACTGTAGAGAACAACAGGTGTAAATGGTTGCATGTTTTTACCCTTTGGGCTCTGACCTCCCCTCAGAAATCAAGTATCTTCTGGATCATTGATGACTCCCCATTTGTTAAAATCCTACGATGTGACATGCACCAAACCAGGCACCAGGGAAGACTGGGATCTTCTCCAGAAGTAACCAAGGTGGTAGTTTGGTTCTGCTCAGGGACAACTTCATGAAAAGTAAATATACACATAATCTAGCATTGGACGAAGTTACAGTCCCCTCGCAGGGACCTCCAAACATCTGACTGCGTTGATCCCACTCTGTACCTGGGTGGGACAGCATTCCCTGGGGTTGTGTGAATGTGTGGAGAAAGTCAGCTGGCTGCCAAGGGTTGTCCTATGCTAGGTGACTGCAGAGTCCCCCAGAGGACAGTGTGGGTAATGCAGCAGGGAGCTGGCTCAGAGCCTCAGCTCAGGTGCTTATAGGCAGTTATTCAGATTTCCCAGCTTTGCAGACTCCCATCAAACGTCTTTTACTAGGGTGGAGATTCAAGGCACCCAGGGCACAAAATTTAAGGAAGCACTCACACTTGCAGTCGTCCAAGTGCAGAATGGGCACTGACAGTGAGTGCCTCCTTCAATCTTTTTTTTTTTTTTTTTTTGAGTTAGAGTCTCACTCTGTCGCCCAGACTGGAGTGCAGTGGCCGCTCCTGGCCACCGCAGCCTCGACCTGCTGGGCTCTGACGATCTTTCCACCTCAGCCTTCCAAGTAGCTGGAACTACAGGCGCACGCTACCACGCCCGGCTAATTTTTGATTTATTGTAGAGATGAGGTCTTGTCAAGTTGCCCAGGCGGGTCTTGAACCCGCGGGCTCAGGCAATCCACTCACCTCAGCCTCCCAAAGGCGCGAGATTACAGGCTGAGCCACCGAGCCCGGCGCCTCCTTAAATCTTGCCCCCTTGGTGTCTCCTTCTCACCCTAGTGCCTGCTCAGTCTTTTCCATTCTCCTCCCTACGCTTGGGAAGAAATCTGGTAAAATATAATGAACAGGTATTTGTAGTTTGAATTTCAGCTCTGTTACTTAGCAGGATGATGTTTGGAAAGTTACCCAGCCTCTTTAAGACTTAGCTTCAGGCCAGACACAGTGACTCAAGCCTACAATCCCAGCACTTTGGGAGACTGAGGCGAGAGGATTGCATGAGTCCAGGGATTCGAGACCAGTCTGGGCAACTTGGTGAGAACTCATCTCTACAATAAATCAAAGAATTAGCTGGGCATGGTGGCGTGTGCCTGTAGTTCCAGCTACTTGGAAGGCTGAAGCGGATTCCCTAAGCCCAGCAGGTCGAGGTTACAGTGGCCATGAGTGGGCCACTGCACTCCAGCCTGGACGACAGAGTGAGACTCCAACTCAAAAAAAAAAAGAACTTAGCTTCAGTTGGTGCAGTGGTTCATACCTGTAGTCCCAGCATCTTGGGAGGCTGAAGCAGGAGAATCGCTTGGGCCAGGAATTTGAGACCTGACTGAGCAACGTAACAAGACTTTGACTCTACAAAGAAAAATTTTTAATTAGCTGGGCATGGTGGCATGTGCCTGTAGTCCCAGCTACTCAGGAGGTTCAGGTGGGAAGATCACTTGAGTGCAGGAGGTCAAGGCTGCTGTGAGCTGTGATCATACCACTACACTCCAGCCTGGGCAACAGAGCAAGACCCTATCTCTGAAAAAAAGACTAACTTTCTCCATCTGTTAAGTGCTAATAAGAAACCTCACGTGGGGGGGGCACACGTGTATAATGTAAGCTCATAGGATTAAAAAATATCTTTCAGTGGCTCCCACCTGTAATCCTAGCAAGCCAGAAGGATTTGCTTGAGCTCAGGAGTTCAAGACCAGCCTAGGCAACATAGTGAGACTTCATCTCTATGGAAAAAAAAAAAAGCTAGCCAGGTGTGGTGGCACATGCCTATAGTCTGGAGGCTGAGACAGAAGGGTTGCTTGAGCCCAGGAGGTCGAGGCTGAGGTAAGCTATGTCACTGTACTCCAACCTGGGTGACAGAGTGAGACCCCAACTCAAAAAAGAAGAAGGAGAAGGAGAAAGATAATATCTTTTAGTATTTTATAGATATCTTTTATTTTCTTTTAGTATTTACTAAGATATTATTTGTAAGTTACTTGATGTTTATGACCCATAGCAGATTTCAGCAATTATTCATCCTCTTTTTTCCTTTTTATTTAATAAGGAGTAAGATTGACATGATTGAATCAGTTTAGGTAAGACTTCAAGCAGATGATCTAGTTTCTAAGCATTTGTTTTCACCAAACCCAGGGTAACGAGTTGGTACAATTTTTTTCTTTTGTCTAACATTTTAGTATGAATATGTTCAAGCTTATAGAAGGGTAGAGAGAATGAGGTAATGAAACCATCTGTAGCCATCCCCTACCCACAATGATGGTCAGCTCCAGGCCAGTTCTGTGTCATGTTGTACCCTCACAGCTTCCACCCAGCCCTACCCTGGATTATTTTTAGGAAGATTCCAGATATTGTACTATTTCATTAGCAGGATTTCAGTATGCCTGCTGAGAATTTTTTTAAAATCAAATCACAATACCTTATTTATCCTAATTTTTTTTTTTAAAGAGTGAGAAAGCAGGATTTATTGAGAGGACAGAGAAACTCCCACAGTGGGAGGAGACCTGAAGGGATTGCCCCATTCGAAAATTTTAACAGAAAATGTTATAGTACTCCATTAATGTTATACTAATATTTAAAATGCAGCATTCTGGTTAGCTTACATTGTTTTAACAAATTACTTCACCTCTGGCCAGCGGAAGACTCTTCAAGTTGGTTTCTTAGTCCTTATGACACAACTTTAGAAGTCTTTGGTATTATAGCTCCCTTGCTTTCTGGCATGACAGAATGTTTTAAGTACATCTTAACCTTTCTTGTTGTAGAGCTGGAATTAGCCATTTTCTAAGAGAAACTGGTTCCTTATGGTGCTCCTGGGCTTGAGCAGTTCTCCCACCTTGGCCACCTAAAGTGAGCCACCACACCTGGCCTGTGACAATTTTTTAATTCCCTGAAATCTAAACAGATCAACAGGCCAAATATGGTACCTATACCAGACACAGTGGCTCATGCTGTAATCGCAGCAATTTGGGAAACCAAGGTGGGAGGGTTACTTGAGTCCTATAGTTGAGACCAGCCTGGACAACATGGCAAGACTATGTCTCTACAAAAAAATTAGCCGGGTGTGGTGGCACGCATCTGTATCCCAGCCACACTGGAGGCTGAGGCAGAAGGATCGCCTGAGCCCAAGCAGATCAAGGCTATGGTGAGCTGTGATCATGCCACTGCACTCCAGACTGGGCGACAGAGGAAAACTTTGACTAAAAAAAAAAAAAAGTATATACCTATGGAAGTTTTTTTGTTTTTTGTTTTTGGTCAGAGTCTCACTCTGTTGCCCAGGCTGGAGTGCAGTGGCACACTCATGGCCACTAAAGCCTCAATCTGCTAGGCTCAGGTGATACTTCTGCCTCACCCTTCCAGGAAACTGGAACAGCAGGTGTGCCACCACACCAGCTAATTTTTTGATTTATTGTAGAGCCGAGGTCTCACCAAATTTCCCAGGCTGGTTTAAAACCCCTGAACTCAGGCAGTCCTCTTGCCTCTGCCTCCCAATGTCCTGGGGTTACAGGCATAAGCCACCATGCCTGACTGGAATTTTTTTTTTTTTTTTAACTTAACATATAGTTCTAATTTAGCATCTGATCATTCCTCAACCAGCCACTTGGTGTCACTGCATGGTTAGATGAACATTTAAAAGTACCCTAGAGTAATTTGTGTCATTACCGATCTTGTTAAAAGTGGCATTAATGAGATGGTAGAAGGCAAATGCACTACTTCGAATGCAAAAGTACTCTTTCAAATAATGCAGTGAGTGCTTTCGATGGCAAAATTAGTTATAACATGGAAGCTTTGCATCCTTAATTCAGCCTTCCGTTTTTATGACTTTGTGAAGGGATGTCTACAAAGGGATGACACATATTCACGGTATTAATTCTCTTTAGATGAAGAGAATGCTGCGAAAAAATAACCCTACCAAAATAGTTTTAGCATTCACAAGAGGCAATAGAATTATCCTCACACTTGGACCAGTGGCAACATTCTAGATCATGGTCCTCCCTTGATGTCCTTTCAAGGCCACTTAGGTTAGAGCACAGCCCCCTCAGCTCAATAGAGACTGACAGCAGAAGTGTGGTGGTTTTAGTGAAACAGTCACGGTTTTAATGAAATGTCTGGGTATAAAGAAACACGAGAGTTCATTGTGAGGGTGACCGGTAGCTCCAATCCCAGCTTGCCACTTAACAGCTGTCAGAACTCTGGCATGTTACCGAGCCTTTCTGTGCCTCATCTTCCTCATCTGTAAGATGAAGATACAAGTACCTAGCTTCTAGGGTTGCTGTGAGGATGAAATATGATATCTGCAAAC